ATATATATATATATATATATATATATATATATATATATATATATATATATATATATATTTATAATTTATCTAAATATATATTTATAATTCATCTAAATATGAAGATATAGTAGAATGAACACAGATTTATAGTTACCATCTTATTACTCTATATATATGGTAAAGCACCTTTTGGGAATATAGTTACATGTACCTATATTTGCCAAATATTCCAATTGTATTGACTATATAAAATAGTTAATTTCTCTTACCATTCAATATTTGCCACCTTACCATATTTTTTATTTCAAATAATTATAATTCTTGGTAAAAATTTTACACGGGTCAGTTATACTATACTTATATTGTAAATATTACAAATATTATGGTAACATTTACTATAAAAATTATATTCCTAACTATAATATTTTTACTATGCCATTATAGTTCCAAATATCATACATTTTTCTCTCAGTGTATCAAATGGATCCTATACGAAAATTTATACTTAAAATGCAACTGAGAATTTATACTTAAAATGCAACTGAGAATTATAGACTCATTCTCTTCTTTCTGTAAACCTTTCAATTATTAAAATCGCGACAGATACGGCGTAAAATAAAAAATACAGTTTGCGAGACTTTGATCTTTACGAATGTTTCTTTTTTCTCCTCTGAGAAAGACGTTCGCAAAAACATTTGGATCTTCCAATTATTAAAATCGCGAAAGACGCGGTATAATCAAAGTAGTGTAGTTTGCAATACTTTCCATTCCTTCCCTTTTCTCAATAGGAAAGACGCGAAAATACACAGGCATCATTAAGCTCGCGAGCCGGGGTAAGTTTCTCGCGAATTAGCGCGGCAATACTCGAAGCATGAAGCTCTTTGAAGTCGCACGGCGTCGCCCGTCACGGTGTTTCGCATGGTTAAACATCTGTCAACGGCTAATATAATCAGCTGATTTAGCCATTTGCGTTTAATTCGGCTCAGTAACAAGTAACGTCTACCTCAACAATTGAAACTTTTTCCCCGATAGAACGAACTGCTTAATAGCGCGACGCGCGCGCCTGCGACCTTGTTCGCCAGAGGCGATACGGCGCGGTATCTACCTTTCGTGAAAGCTATTTGGTCAGTGATAGTCGCACACGTAATGTGACGTTAGTCGCCGGCGTGACGCTGTACAAAATGTACCGGAATCGACGTAAAGAGAGAGGCAAGTAACGCATTCATGTCGGTGAAGTAGGCTGCTGGACAGATTAAGAGTGTGGATCGATCCGTGTGACTATTGCGTGTATTCGTGGCCCTCTTCGGGAAATTCCTCAGGAGGCGAGGTTCGACGCAGATAGCGGATCCATACGGCAATCGAAGACCGGTCGGTCCAGCAGCCTACTCCTTTCCACGCGAGAGGTATCCGAGAGAAATTGCCGCGACAAGATGAACATCTCTGAGGAGTGCGAGAGGAAGCTTCGTTCAAGCGAAATGTAAACTTGATCCTTCTATGATACTTGTATGCCATAATCTGGGATACTTCAAAGTATCCTCGTATCACTAAGGTATCTCGTTCTTGGGACGAATTTGACGATCATTTTGACCCGACGTTGGACCCTACTTCGCGACGCTGGATCGGCCAGAATTGTCGTCTCATTAACAAAGAACATTTTGTCTTTCAGGGTTCAAGAAATGGATGCAAGGAGAGGGCACCATGAAGAGGAATCTGATCTGCGGATTGGCGGAGTTGATCGGCACGGCACTCCTGGTGTTTATGGGATGCATGGGATGCGTGGGTAGCCTCGGCGTAGTACCTCCTCATCTGCAAATAACGCTAACCTTCGGCCTGGCCGTTATGGTCGTGATTCAGGTCAGTATGCAGGCCGGAGGTCCTCGGCCACCACACGCTCGATCGTTTCTCTCGCCACCGTGGTGTCATGTTCGTTTGAAGTCTGATGGAAACATACTACCGCGATCGCGTCGCACCATATGGCGGGAGCGTGGAGACTGCAGACTGCACGATTTACATAACCCCGCACGCAATTGTGCCCGAAATACACACACTCACGTGATTTTCATTTTATTAAATAAAAGCGGAGATTCGTAAAACTAGATCGCATACCGAGGCGATATCGACACGTTCCTATTAAAATACCGAAGAACTATTCGGGTCTGTGTTTCGCTCGCGTCGATCGTGTCTAGATCCATCACGTCGAAAATGAAATTTATCGAAATTACTCCGCTTTCTATTTCGATTATATTCGTCGACCCGACGGTAAATTGGTAAGTACTACTCGCGGATGGAGGTTCGCGTGATGTCCAGCGCTTAAAGGCCGCGTTTCACCGCGCCGTGTCGCATTTATACGCCGCCTTTCGCTCGCAAACCGCGCTCACCTGGTGAAACCTAGCGGGCTTACGCCGCGGTTCGTTAGCGGATACCCGGATTCTTCCGACGCGCGATGTGAATCTCATTAGCTCTCGCACGGCGCGCAACCTGCGCCCACGCCGCTGTAATTTTGAATTTGTCTCACGACGCTTGGATCGATGAAACTGAGGTGACCAAATTTCCCAGTCCCAAATTCGGGACATTTAATAAACGTGTCGAACGGAGCCGAGAAAGGGAGATAAAAAGTTGTTAAAAATCGTTTGTGCATAGAATGTCCCTGTTTTCGCGAATATATATCAACTCAGATTCTCTGAGAGCAATTCAGAGTTAATTTTTATAATATTAATACATATATACATGTCTAGACAATATTTAATTTATCGACATATGAGAAATAATTTAACAACAATGAACACGTACTACGCACAGTAAAAATAGAAATTATCTTTAAAATAAAACTGTTGTTATTCTTACTCGAAATTAAGAAGAAGAAGCGAAGCTACTGTATTTAGAGTTGAGTTTTCTTGAAAAGATATTTCCTCGTCAGAAGCATTTTAAAAGAGTTGGCCGAACAAATTCGGAACAAATCGTCGTTCCGGATAGCGTTCGAACAAATCTGGAACAAAGAGTAGAAAACGGAGAATGTCCCGGGAAAATGGAACGTCTATTCACTTCAATAAGACGTAACGTTAAAGGATCGTTGGCAAAAGAGGAAGTTATTTCTCACGAGATATTTTCTGATGGTTACATACTAATTATCATAATTAAAAGTTTTTTCCCCGATTTCGTTTTCAGTGCATCGGTCATATCAGTCAAGCTCACATTAACCCTGCGGTCACTATGGGCGCTGTCGTCCTCGGGAAAAAGTCCATCCCCGAAGCTTTAATTTACATCGTGTCGCAGGTGATTGGCGGTATTCTGGGTTACGGTATGCTGAAGGTTGGTATAAGAAAATCTAATTATTCTTCCGTCGCATAATCCGGTTAAATTGGTACATTCTCCCCGCGCTATGAGCTGAGAAAATTTGAGAAAAGTCGAGCTTACGCTGGTCGTCGCGTTTTTCCCTGTGATCGCGAATAATGTAGACTACATTACTTTCACGGGATCCCGTGGCGACAAAGGCCAAACCGATGAAAAGTAAGCAACAACAACAGTACAATAGTCGAGCCAGTTAATTATGTATATGAGCAAAGAAAAGCAAGTTGATCCGCGAGTGACTACTGTTAGCGAATTGCGGTCGAATAAAATCTTAAGTTAACGAAGATAAATGTAGGATCTGAAGATTTGCTGAAATTTACATCTGTTGCTTGAAGAACGTACCGTTGCGCTCGGAATTGTTTAATCAAGCGATAATAGTGTTTGCTTTCGCGGATATAACGGAAGCTCGTTTAACGATATGGCGTTATTGAAGTGTGCATTATGAAATACACGCTCGGTCAAGAAGCCGAGTTATCCGAGCACACAAGGGAGATACTCACGGTGCAAACAAAACTTTTGCTCCCGTCGTATTGGCACATGTGGCGGCTTGCGATGCGTCTGTCGTAATTCAGATCAAGTGTTGCCAGAGCGGGGAGAACGCGGATTAAAGATGTGATCAATTAACACATTGCACGATGACATCTCAATTGGCGAGCCGATTGTCGAGCACGGCAGGGCGGGGGACATTTGCGGGGTTACACAGCAGGTTACGAAATAAACCGAGAATCTGCCGGGTGGTATCAGTGCTCAGCGAGAGAGAGAGAGAGAGAGAGAGAGAGAGAGAGAGAGAGAGAGAGAGAGAGAAACGCGGTTCGCGACCTCTGCTTAATCTGCAATTCAGCGCATGTTGTGTTTGTTGTCCAATTAATAACGTACGCTTTCGCGTAATCAGAGGAGAGGCTTGCCGTCGTGGTATCTGTTTCGTGTGCAGTAAGACGTCTCTGCGCGGCAATATATCCCGATAAGTGCGAGCAAAGCGAAATGCTTGAAAGCACAAGCGGGGCTCCCTTCGCCGCCTCATGACGAAAAAATGCATTCCTCGAGGTTCATTGATCGCGGAAAACTACGCGTCGACGTTCGATATTCATCGTGAAAACAATGGCCGTGTTTCGATATGTTCACTGACAGTACTGGAAATCTATAATACACGTAACATGAAGCATAGATTTTCAGTACCCCGGCAGTGAATATCGGAACGCAACCAATGAACGCGGTCATGTAAACAAAAGTTTGCGGCGAATGACGATGGAGTGTATAGAAACGAAAATATTTCTTCTGAAATAAGAGGTGAAATACGGTATATTTCAAAAACACCCGCTCGCGAATGTCCTTTGTTATTGTCATACCTAGGTGCTGTTTAATATATTTATAACTTTCAAAAAACACGCGTATATCCTTTGCGGAATAAATAAAAATAAACATCATTGTACTCGAAAATTTTACCAAAATATTTGCTTTTGCTAGTAATAAACGATGTTCTTTTTTCGTTTTATTTGTGCACATTTCCACAGCATTTGTTTCACTTCTAATGCACAATGAAACGCGTCGCATTATTTTGTCTCGCGAGAGGAAAATAATACGAGAGGAAAATAATACGAGTCGGAAGATAACAGTTTTAATTTCGTCCAAGAGAAAAAAAATGATTTAATTGAATGAAAAGACACCGTGGTATATAAAATGGACCAAAGCGCTTTTCTCGTCTCTCCTCTTGCCGCGAAAAACAGCGAACTGCAACATTCGTTTCGTCTAATTCGAGTACTGAAGAAAAAAGATGATTCACGATTAAAGAACGGACGTTCAATTGCCATCGCGTCTGATTTGACCACTCAGTCGCAGGTGCAAACACTTGGATGAAAGCTTCGAGTGCATAATCACGCTGATTTTTACTTATTCCGGCCACAGTCTTCACCGTCACGACGATTCCCTTTGCAGGTGGTAACGCCGAAGGAGCACCTGACATCCGGCTCGATCGATCAGGCCGATATGTTCTGCGTGACCGATGTAAACGGCAGCCTGTCGGCGATCCAAGGCTTCCTCCTCGAAGCCATCGGCGCCGCCGTTCTCATGCTGGTCGTGTGCTCAGTCTGGGATATCAGGAACGAGCACAACACGGACTCAGCGCCGATCAAATTCGGTTTCACCGTGGCCGTACTGGCGACTACGATCGGCCCCTATACCGGTTGCAGCATGAACCCGGCGAGGTCATTCGCACCGGCATTGTGGAACAATCAGTGGTCGCGTCACTGGGTCTACTGGTTCGGCCCAATCGCCGGTGCCCTGCTTTCCGCCTTCATGTACAAGACCGTCTTCGGCGTTCCGGATAAGGTCGAGGAGGAACCTGTTCCCGAAGCGGTCGCCCTCAACAGTGTGGAGAGCCAGAAGACAGAGGTGAGACGAATGCGCGCGAGCACCCAGTAAGATACAAGCGAAAATATATTTATTCGAATCACGTTCAGTTCGCGAAAGTTCCATTAAACTGCAAACGGTAATTATTATCGATAGCTCTCGTTATATATTCTCTACACGGGATTATCGTGTGGAATTTTGCCGGTGCTGTTTTGAACTGATTGTAATTGATCATAATCATGCAAGACTGCACGAAATTATGATTTTCAAGTTTTGATTACTAACGAGCTCATACGTCTTTCTATAACAAAATAAAGCCAGTCTTATAGGCATCTGAAATTAATTAAAAAACAGTTTTTATTTTCTACTAGATGATTTATTCTTGATCTTTTAAAAGTTAAGCTTGTCAATAAATGCCCTTGGGAAGGAACGAAAATTGTCATATATATTGAAATGGTATACAGGGTTGGCAAAAAGCCCGGAAACGGTGAAATATCTCGAAAAGGATCAACTGTAGCGAAAAATATGTAAGTAGCAAAGTTGTAGGGCTTAATAAAATGTACCTAATGATGGCTAAAAATTTGACTTTGGGTGGAGGACGAAGGTCATACGAAGGTCAAATTGAATTTTTTAAATTGGACCCCACTTTTTATCACATATTCTTGTAGCTTATTTCAAGGGTTTTCCAAAAACCTATAATAAAGTATTTTTTTATTAGGTATATTTAGAGTTATGTGGCTTAAAAGATTTTGGTCTTTAACTGTTTCTGTTTCGTAAAAATGTATCACTGTCTTCTGAACGGTGGATTTAGAAATAAAATTGCGATCAGGATATGCAGCATTGAATGTGTAGATCAGTTACTTCTTCGTATGATCTAATATGGTCTCCAAATTTTCGATAAAGAAACAGCATTATCTTTTCTTTATCGGTTAACATTTTTAAAAAAGAAATTTGAAATTGTAGTTGGAAAAAGAAAGGGAAAAGACAAAGAGTAAGATGCGAGAGAGCACGACTCGTTTTTAAAATACAAAGATCGAGAAGCGTTATCGTGAAGCGCGGGTATGCGCGAGTTTTGACTGAGTACGTGTGATATTACGTCGTGAATGAATAACCGCGTTCGATGAGAGCGAATGAACAACTAAGCCGGTCATATCGTCTAGCTCGAGACACGAAAATCAAAGTTATTCTTGTTTTTCTCCTGTGTTTATGTTTTTTAGGCTCTCAGTCTAGTTGTTCATTCGCTCGCATCGAATGCGGTTATTCATTCAAGACGTAATATCACACGTACTCAGTCAAAACTCGCGCATATCCGCGCTTCACGATAACGCTTCTCGATCTTTGTATTTTAAAAACGAGTCGTGCTCTCTCGCATCTTACTCTTTGTCTTTTCCCTTTCTTTTTCCAACTACAATTTCAAATTTCTTTTTTAAAAATGTTAACCGATAAAGAAAAGATAATGCTGTTTCTTTATCGAAAATTTGGAGACCATATTAGATCATACGAAGAAGTAACTGATCTACACATTCAATGCTGCATATCCTGATCGCAATTTTATTTCTAAATCCACCGTTCAGAAGACAGTGATACATTTTTACGAAACAGAAACAGTTAAAGACCAAAATCCTTTCAAGCCACATAACTCTAAATATACCTAATAAAAAAATACTTTATTATAGGTTTTTGGAAAGCCCTTGAAATAAGCTATATGAATATGTAATAAAAAGTGGGGGGTTCAATTTAAAAAATTCAGTTTGACCTTCGTATGACCTTCGTCCTCCACTCAAAGTCAAATTTTTAGCCATCATTAGGTACATTTTATTAAGCCCTACAACTTTGCTACTTACATATTTTTCGCTACAGTTGATCCTTTTCGAGATATTTCACCGTTTCCGGACTTTTTGCCAACCCTGTATATCAAAGGATAGATTGGCAAAAATGTGATTTTTCCGCCGCGTCACTATAATAGCTTCTCGGATTATAAGAAGTAAATTTCACTGTATAGATATCTACATGGAAAAAAATAGTGTCAAATCAATGGAATTAGTCAACAGCGCCGTGGTTGAAACGAATTTTCTTGATTCAATAGCAATGTTATTGAATTTAATATCCGACATAGTAAAACAATTTGTAATGTATTTGTTTTAACAACTCGAGTATCAGTTTCAACAACATTGCTATTGAACCAAGAAAATTTGATCCAGCAATATTTTTTTTCGTGCAAATGTAAATACCTGCCAACAGGCACATATTTAGCTATGAAATTAACGTAGCAACAGTGGCAAAAGTTTTAATCACAACAGAAAATTTCTAGTTACAACGACAAACACATTATCAGCAAACGATAATTAGCCGCGGCAGTGAGATCTTTTTTCGCGATCGCGAAAGCGCGACGACGAGCTTTACTTTTCTCGTATTCGTAGTTTGAAAAACAGAGCTGTAGCAATTTAGCCGGAAAATTACAACCGGCCCCTGGAGAGTTCTTCTATTCTTTGTGCCGCAACATCATCGATGAGATGCGAAACGCGTGCAGATCCGCGTAAGAGGAGGCACGTTCCGTCTCGGCAATAATTCTCGTTAACGATGTTTCGGCCAAATTAATGACCATTTTCGTGCGACTTTAAACGGCCCTTTAAAATACGAGAGAAACGGGGGGCTCATGTGGCTTTATCATGTAAACGCCATGCCCGCCATGCATCAAGGCTTTTCGCATGACGCGGATTATCTTGTAAGGGCCGGCCGTAAAGGTCGACGATAAATCGCTAGGTGGGCAAGGAAGTTCAGTAAAACTGGTTTTACGGGAACGTTACCGGAGAGCTGGATTTAACGTCGTCGGTTTACCCGTCGATGCGAGCTCCAAAGTGGATAAGGAAAAAGCCATCCGTCTCGGAGATATTGTATTTTATTCTTGTGTGTGTGTGTATATATATGTATATGTATATATATATATATACATATATATATATATATATATATATATATATATATATATATATATACACACACACCCTTATTTCGCGATCGAGGAGAGCGATTTTACCCGTTACGACGTTTGCTTACAACCGGCCGCAAGCACGACGAACAAAAGCGACCTGGTTCGTGGTATAAAAGTACTTTAATCGCTACAACCTAAGCGCGGCTGTGAGAACATCAAGACGATTCTCAAGTCCGCGCAAATCTCCGTCTTTTGTTCTCTCATCGCCGTGTCTGAAGAGCCGTCGTATCTGTCGCTTAGAAACATACAATGAAATATTCTCTTTTAGTTTCGTGCCGTGCGAGGAATACTGCCGATTTCGGGATAATTGATTTCAGCCGTGCGTGAAAACAATGGTGTTTAATCGGAATCCTTCACGAAAAATATCCACTCTTATTCGCCTTAATTAAAGCCATGGCGGATTATTACCGACAGACGTTATTTGCGATGCTGTTATTTATTAACCGCAACGCAGCACACAGTCAATAGCCATTATGCGCTAATCCGTAATTATTAGCGATCCACAAACATTCTCATTTTCAAAATATCTCGCTCGGAATGCGATTTTCGGGCCAATTGTGACCTCGGTCGTCGTGCTGAGAGATTAATGGCGAATTAACGTTTTCGCATCCGCTCTTTCAGCCCTAATTCAACGGCGAAGAGGAGGAGGAGGAGGTGGACATCATCGAGGTGGCAGGCGATAAGGACAAGCTAAAACTCGATCAACACTTTCGCAACACGCGAGAAAATCAAACTTCCGGCGCGCGGAGGGAGAGAGTTTCTGCGTGCTCTCCGGAACGCATGGGCGATTTGACAGAGTCTCCCGGTCCCAGGATCGCTCCATGATCTTCGAGGCTCAACCAGGATGCTTTCACAATCCCCGAGATACGCGGAATAGAAGACAATCATCTCTCGGCTCGCCGCCGTCGAGCGTTCCGCGTTAAATCATCGTCAACATAGACTTACGTAGTACTCCTCACACACATACCCGACGAAACTGTGCGAGTCATGCTATTCCATTTAGTCGTTAACTTTGAGAGCGCGAACGTCCGTAGTCGTTAACGTCGCAAACGACAATATGACTACTTGATCTAAATCTTATACGGAGAAAACGGAGAAAACTGCTATGATAATGCTACATTCTCATATTCGATTATTAGGGAGAAAATTTATATGATTTCGAGTCAAGCGGATATGACATTCAAAGTTGCTGTTGTTACATGCCAATCCATATAGTTCTCACAGCCATAGTTCTTACGATACGTAATATCCAGTTAGTACATTCACATATATATAGTTGCCTCAATCGAAGGAACATTGCTGTTTCTCTATTGTGGCATGCAGACAAATATTATGGCTGAGAGATCCGTAGAGATCCGGCTGGTTACACCGTAAATCACTGAGAGTACCGCTCAAACATGCATGGACAGGCAGTAAATTAAGCCAATGTACCACTTCCAGAATACTATGATTACTATAGCTATGTTGCATGCATATTGAACTGAAAGATAACGTTTTGTCGTGGCAACTATCTAGGCGAATGATATCCTTAGTGTTTTCTCTGTGCAGATCTGTATTAATAGTCATTACTTGAGATTTGCCTCAGGTAAGATTTGAATTCAGAGTTGTGAACTTTTCAGTTGAATCACAATTACAGATATTACGTCATATATATCATATTATTCAACTAAAAAATTCAGATCTAGATCTGAGATTCCGATCTGAATGTCACACGTGAGGCAAGTTTCAGGTAACGACTATTAACGCGAGCTGCAGGGATAAGCTAAGAAACTTTAATGAGAAATTTTTTGTATAGAATCCGGATTTTTAATTAAATTTGTCTGTGTGTGGCTTGCCCGTTTAATTAAGGATGTCGGAATACCGCGAAATGAAACTCTTATGCGGCGCGCAAAGATATCACAACGCGATTCTCGAGGATGTCTCGGAAGCGCGATTAAATGCTTGTCAATACGAAACGCGAGATCGACCTCGGCTAAGCTATCGTATACCACTTTCTCTCTGTAACATAGTGTACATTCGTTTGCCATACATAGGTATCTCGATCATCTCGACATTTATTGTACGTATACAATATACCGCGTGTATGAAACGCATATACACGCGATGTATTGTGTACGTACTTCTTCTTCGTATCCATAATACATACTAGAGATAAATACTGTATACACGACGTCGACGTGAGAGAAAATAGCATGCAGACGATTTTAATGTTTAATAAGCTTAGTCTCGCGCGACGAGACGCTCCTTGATTCTTGTTACATTCTGCATGGATTTCGCGAGTTTCAAGTCCACGATATAAAAAGAATTCGTGCTATTTTCGCTCCGTCCATCTCGTATGCCCGTGGCATTTTAATGTAACTATCACACACGTAACTCGGTTAAACGTCATAATACTCCTACGCGATATCGTTTGATGGATCGTTTTTAGCGGTTATTCACTTGGAGAGGGAGAAAGAGAGACAGAGAGAAAGAGAAAAAGAGAGTGAGAGAGAGAGAAAGAAAGAGAAAAAGAAAAAGCAAACTATTTTGTACTCCCGTTTATTGGTCGTCCGATGGCCGGGAGCGAGAGCGTTGGCTCTCCTTCGGACGAACGGGCAACCCGATGACTTTTACGTATTTTTGTTTCGTAAATATACGATCGTTATTTCTACAGTTACGCGTATACACACTCGCAACGTCACGGCGGGAAAAGCGCCCGTCGTCGTCAGGAAAAGAGATTCTCTCTTGTGCCCGTCGGAGCGGCGTGTACTTTCGACAGCTTTCCAACGCGAGGCAAATAATTGTGATTTTTGCTACTCATGTACTTCATAAGGTACATAACATTCACGAATATACGTGTGTGTGCACAAAATGACGCTTAAAAGTGCTTAATTAATTATTCGGACCAGCGCGACTCCCTATTTCCGTCTCCCGTGGAAAAAAAGAAGAAGCGTTTGCCCTTCGTGTCCTCATTCGATCCTCCGGTCGTCATTAAACGTACGAAGCGATTTAATATACTGATAAACCATGATGCATGCGTCCTCGGTGAAGTTTTATGTTTGTGGCGTAACATCAAAACGCGCGAGTGGAAATAACAGTTCTGATTGAAGAGGATTGAGCGAATGTCATCGAAAAAAACGTGACGCGCGCAAAAAAGTGTAATTTTTTGATTTCCCTCTTTTGCCGCGGGCTGTATGCACCGCCGAAATTTGTAACTCGCTTCGCAATCTACGTCGCCCGCGCGTCCGCATCGGAGCACAAACATTTCATCAGCCCGTCTAAAACGACGAAAAAAAAAGGAGGTAACAAAGACTAATAGCGTCATCCTCTCGCGCTTCAATCGTCACGCGTTAATCGGCCATCGATTGCAACGACCATTTATTACGCGCGCGCGAAACATTTATAGTATCACGTTTAAATTATTACCGTTTAACGAGTCGCGTGTAATGCTCGCTGAGCATGTATGTGATCATTAACAATGAGCTTTGACGTGCAGTACCACGCATTGTGAAAGTGGGAACAAAAGCGAAGTACTTCGTCGCTTTGCTTCTCGCAATAATATATCACATGCCGTTTGTCTTTGTCACGATATATAAGCGATCACCAGTCGTGCAATTTCACGTGTCTTAATAGCGGAGTGCAAAAATGACTCTGCAAACATTGCGTCAAGACGTACGTATCAGTTACGTAGGTACAGCGTCCATTTTCTTCGGGCTGCTCACTTTTGTATACGTTTTATCGTTTCTCAAGAAGACAAAACAAGCAACACGAAGACAATGTAACAGTTTAACGCATGAAATAGAATTCTACTATTTTTACTACATTATTAATACCAAAAATTATTTTACTATATTATTAATACGAAAAATAAAATAAAAAATCTACTACAATATTAATATGAAAAGTAAAATAAAAAATCAGGTACAATACCGTGAGAATTTGTCGTTATATTATTTTCCAATGTGCAACACGAGATATATCTAATATACATTATGTCTGTAATGTACGTAATGTCTGTAAAATTCCAACTTGCCCGTGTCGTTACGTTACAATTTTTGGCTATTATTTCTTTTTGAAGAAGCCGCGCATTGAATCAACGTGAGCTCGCTGCAGATGACCGAATTAAAAAAAAAAAAAAAAAAAAAAAAAGGAAAAAAGAAGAGAAAAAAGGAGAGGTATCGGCGTGTCTTGCAGAAGAAATTGATTTAGGGCGCAAAAAGGGGCGTGTTACCGGTGGTAATGGTGACGCGCCCCGAATAACTTTCCAACTCTCCCATTCACCACGTTCTGCGTTTGCAACGTGTCGCCTGGTGCACCGGCCGTTCGTGACTAGCTCGTAGTCGGGGTTTGCTGCAGTACAGGCGCATCTGTCAGTGCCCTCGCGGATATTGGAAGCGGGCCGTCGCGGGCGGTGCGCTGCATTTTCACGCTCTAACAATGCGCGAGAGATTCCGCGAGAATTATCGAAGACGCCGGGAAAAGAAAATTACGGCCACCGTCGCAATGTCCACGTCTCTCGCCGTTCCTCTCGCGAAAATATCACGTCGCGCCGCTTGATAGAGAGATATTTAGTATTCAATTAAACGCGGTATATTAGCTAGCCAGCCAGCTGGGGTGAATAAAACAACGGGCATGAGCTCCTAGCCGGCAGCCGTATATACGGTGTTCATCTGGCGACGCGACACACCGGCGCGAGTTCACACGGCGATAACCGTCCGAGCCCGTGAGTGATTAAAATGAGAGAGATCCCCGGCGAATTGAGTTTCAAGAATACAAGCGCAGTTCGCGGGATCTCGTTTCTTTCCTTCAAGCACATCTGCCTGTCGCATCGAAATCTGATCGTCTCGAGACTCGGAGATGATTAACGTTGCGAATAAGACCGTTCGGAATAATAACAGCGTTCAGAATTCTATTTCCGACGGCATTCAAGAATTCATTCGTCGACGCGTGCAGCACGGTCTATGGTGCAGCAAATGCGGCAATAAGGGAACACCCAGTACACATAATGCGCACCGCATTTTGCGCGAGTGGGTCTCACGGGGACGATAACTCGTTACGTAACGCAAAATTAGACAGGAACGGCGCGGCTCGCTTAAGCAACGAGGAGTGGCCCGCGCGAAAGAGGCAAAGAAAAAGGGAGGAGAGAGAGAGCGGACGATAAGAGAATTCAAGAATACGGAAAGAGAAGAGGAAGAGAGAGAGAGAGAGAGAGAGAGAGAGAGAGAGAGAGAGAATTGCTCGCGAGAGCGAAACTGCATCCGGATGACGTCTCGCGTTCGAGCCGCACATTTTCCCCTCGGAAAGAAAAGTAATATTTCCGTATGATTTACATGCTGGGCGGCAGGTCGCTCGTTAATAATTCAATTTTCAATCTGGTCTTAATGCTCCCCTCCCCGACTTTTCCCAACTTCATCCCTCCTCTCTCTCTTCCTCTTTCTCTATTCTCCTTCGCCGCCTATCGTTCTCTTTACTTCGCGTCTTCGTGCTTCCTCGTCTCCACCCGCGCACTCCTATTTCCCTCCCCCTTCTTCCTTTCACTTCTTCCTTTTATTCTTCTTTTATCCTTTCTTTCGTCGGCACTTATTCCGCCGTGTCGGCGTCCAGATAAGGACGAAATAAGCATAAGGCGAGCGCGAATAAATTTTTACATCGCCGTCTATCCCGGGCTCGCCGCGTACTTTTCACGTCCGCGACTCGTAATCAAAAGCGGCGAGAAATTCGACGAGAAAAGAAAAAAAAGGAGAGGACAGAGAGAAGAGAAAGAAGTGGATATATCTCCTTTTTTAATGGAGATTTTATCGTTGAAACGCGAGAACGGCAGAGTCGGGGATACGCGCGTTAATGGCAAGACGGGAAGACCTTCAAGGTCGAAGCGAGTGAATTAAGCGGTCGAGGTTGGGCACTAATTAAAGCATGGCTCCGCGTCTCGAGGCTGCGGGATTGGTTGATTCGATTAGCCGTAGGCGAAGTTTCACGTCTCGTAGCCGGGGATACACGTTACGATGGCCTAATACCCAAATGAACCGCCACGGTGCATTACAAAGTGTTACGCGACCTGTAGACGCTCGAACGAGCTGCCGTCCTGCATCTTAAACCGCCGCGGAAATAACTCACGATTATTTTCTTACTTTATCAAGTAACTCGTGATAGAAGTAAGAAGTCATATCGATCATCGCAGAGAAAACACGAGCTACAAAAAGAAAGATTTCTTTTCCAACGCGGAACTTCCATCGCGGAGTTTCTCATTATTCGATCTTTTCTCCTTTACAAAAATTACGTGCAAAATATGTAAATGCAATATATGTGTCATTGAATACTAAATTAATCCTGATGGAAGGAAATATCGATGATATGTAAGTAACAACGCGCGCGAATTCTCTCAACCCGTTCGCGCAAGACGTTCCTGTTTCCTACTCGTGTCTCGTTTCGCGCGATCGTTCATTCTGTCGATATTTCCCAGCTCGTTTTCATTTAGTTCCGGTGCTCACGACAGCGGAAATATTTACAAGTTGCGGCAAATCGTAACGATTACAGGGCAGAAACGCGCAAACACGTCTTGTAATCGGAAGAACGAAAGCGTGGCGAACGTTTGCGCGAGCATTTCGATCAGGCGGATGCATCGATGCGTTCGTGAAGTTTGCGTGTAAAGTCCGCCGATACACCTCGGGCAGCGAGCGTATTACATTCCTTTAATCCATTTGCTTGTTCCACTTTTCCCCGAGTAACGCGATTTCGTAATTGAGCGAGCGTACGCGCTTCAAGTGCATGCAAAAGAATGTTGCACGCGTCCACAGCTACTATCGCGTTTCGCGATTAAGTCTGTACTGTTAGAAGAGCCGCCGTGTATTTTCTATGAAATCGCTTTGCGCCGCCCGGATCTTTAATCGCAAAGCGGAATATGTTACCTCTGCGGTGCCTCTGCGATGCTATCTTTCGTTTTGTCATTCAAGATCCTCGAGAAACGTACGAATAGAGAGAGAGAGAAAGAGAAAGAGAGAACGGAGAGAAAAATTACAGTAATGTATTCCGTGAAGATGAAAACAGAGATAATAGATAAAATCTAAATAAAAAATAGATATATTCCGTGAAGATAATAATAGAGATAATAGATAAAATCTATATAAAAATATATACAAATATATATACAAATATAATTATATATAATATTTATATATATATATACAAATATATATACAATGAAGATTTCGATCTTGTTTGCAAAATTCATTGTGCCTAACACCTATTACCTTTTACTTATCGATTTTTCTGACCGCTTCGTTAAAATTTGTTTTAACAAACATCTTAGCTAACTACATTGGGTGTTTCATTAAAATTTTGAGTGTCCAAATTACAGCGTTCAATCAACGAATAACTGGTGACGTAAGAAAATTTTCTTGAAGGTTAATGTGCGCACGAGTCGTGTCACTTGTTCGAGGAAAAATTCTTGCAATATCATCAAGACAGTGTCTTACCCCAAAACGGGGAAACTTAATTAGGAAACTTCCACCTAAAATGAAATTCAAGGACCTTCCCTCTGTGGAGTTTAATCAACGATTAATCAATCAAATTACGACGCTTTCAGGGCTAAATTCATTATGCGGTTTCTCGTTTCTCGGGAATCACGTTATCAAGAATGAAATCCAGAATTGAATAGGATCAATACAGATAAAGATCACGAGACTTAACCCCGAAAAACGATCGCGTGCGGAACGGAAAGACGTAGTTTTCGCTGATGCAGTGTCGATTTGGCTTTCGTCTCAAGGACAAATTACAGCGGTTTTAAAGGCCGACCTACCGCAGCCGCGATACATAAGTTGGTCTGAGGTACACGGAAAAAGTTTGTACTCCGGTTATACTTTGTCCAGTGCGCAAACTCGACCGGTCGTTCGACTCGGTCCTCCCCCCTCGCTTCTCACAGCCGACCCCTCCATCGCCGACTAACCTAACTGAGAACAGGTCCGACTTAATCGCGGGTGCTCTTGAGGAAGACTGTTACAACACATGTATTTCACCGAATGTTGTAGGGGAAATAAAAATATAAAGTCGCATCGTCCGAGAATTAAAGACAAAAATCACAGACAAAGAATCACAGAGAGAACATTCTCACGTGTCAAAATCAATGAGGTAAATGTGTGTCGCAAGGTGACCTAGTCTGCCTTTATATCTTTGAACGCGAACCAAGTTGATGAAATACTCGATGGAGTCTTTAGTCTTCCTAAAAATATTTCCTAGGAGAAATTATATTCCTCAATTATCTATCGTCGAAACGAGAAGATACCATTGCGCAGATACACTTCATCGTGGTCAAAGCATATCGTGGCTGCACTAGCGTTTCGTTTAAACATCTCGACGAACGGATCGATGCTCACCGAGGGTAGTAGAAAGCGTCCTCGGCACGCGAGCCAACCAACAAGAGCGAAACTTACTTACCGACGAAGCAGCGGCGTCTCGGGGCGACGGTGGCGGCAGCTTACGGTCCTGTGAAATATTCCTCTCGCTCTCGCTCACCCTCTTCCAGACCATAGCGCCGTTTCGGCGTCTCTGTTCTTCACACTCGCGCAGGTCGAGTACCACCGTCGGAAGGTCGTCCGGCCTGTGTTCCTCTCTCTCTCTTTCTCGCTCGCTCTCGCCAACAGCTCTCGTTCTCCTCGCTTTGCTCACCTTCTCCCCCGTGTTCTCTCTTTCACTCCCTCTCCCTCTCGCTCCCTCTCTCGCTCTCGCTTTTCGCGACGCGTCGAATGGTGGGGCGCGGGTGAACGCGGGTCGGACGACAGTCCTTCCGCGGATTGCGGAGGTCGTGTCGTCCAAGTCTCGTGCTCTCGATGCTTGTCTCGTTATCCTCTCGACGCCAGCTCGGCGTGCAGTTCTCGCGAGACGCGGTCGACGTGAGCCCCCGCGTGGCATGGCCGTAGAGTGGACGCACGGAGAAGCGCACACAGAAAGAGAGAGAGAGGGGGGGAAAGAGAGACAGAAACAGAGATAAAGGGAGAGGGAGAGAAAGGCACAGGAGCAGCGTAGGAAAGCGTCGTCGCCGCTCGCTCGTCGCTTCTCGTCCTTCGAAGAACACCACTGTCGTGTTGCACCGCGACGAACCCTTGTCTCGCGACTCTCTCGCGACGTGTCGCGTGGGCGCCCATCGCGACGCCGACACCGCGCCTAACTTCCCGTATCTCCGCGAGGTTACCGGTCACGTCGTATCGGACGACACCAACTGTCATCGTTCACGGTGCACCGCGTGTGCTGCGACGCGTGCACGAGAGAGCGCGCGATTTCCTTACACTATGGTGGTGGTGCAGGAGCCCCATAATCCACGCCGAGCGCGATCAATGTCAGAGCATGACGATCGACTAACGTATTCTCGTAACACCAGATAGGTTCAACTGCGCTGCGACTGATCGCTGCGACTGATCGATGCGACTGATCGGCGTGACGTCACGTGCACTCGGATTTCGGAACGTGCAATTGGTGCGTCGCGACCGAGCTGTGTTCCAGAGAACTCCCTAGGATCCCATCGGGATCCTATTCCGTAAATTGGTAATCCGACACCACGACTGACGATCGAGGGATCACTCGTCCGGCACACGGCTCGGAAAGCCACTCGCGGGCAGGCGTCGACATTCCGATGGACATTTCGGACGGTACGTACATAAAACTGTACATATCAATCGGCGATCGATGCTTCGCGCGCGACAAGCTTCGTTCGAACGTTCACGCGTCGCGTAACGACTCTCGTCGCGATTACATCGAATGACAGTCGTTTACCTTTGTGGCGATCTCGACGCGGAACGCGAACACCGGCTCGAAGAAACGAATCCGCGAGATTCCTCGTATCCGTGGGATCCTCTATCGACTCGGATTTATCGTTCATGGCGCGAAGTGCAAAGTGAACAGTGTGCGCGAGGGGGAAGGTGCAAGCGGCTCAACGAATCGCCGCGTAGCGGCGCTAGTCACGTGACGCGCTCAAATTCGACTGCCCGCTCCCTTGACTTTGAACGACCCGCCATTCCGCGAGAGTCTGTCGAGCCGAGGTGAGCGGACAGGTTGGTCAAAACTAAAGCGCGTCTCTCGGAGTGGGGCCGGAGTGAGTAGTTTCGGTGCTCGTTCACGGCGAGTAAGTACCGCGTCGCGGAGTGCCGCGTTGATAGTTTCGTGTGACCGGACGAGGAGAATGTGACTGGCCCGGGATCGTCGAACGCGATCGTCGAAGGCGCCCTTGACGGCTTCGTCGCGGCCACATGCGGAGCTGTGATGACTGCGGGTGAGTACAATGAGAGACAGAGATCCACGGGACGACTCGTTTAGCTTTAAAGAGAAACGAACAAACGTGAAAAACGAGAAAAGATCGGATATTCGCGACATCGTGGATACAAGCGCTACGAATTTCGCGATAATTTCGCTGTAAAGGGAGAGATAATCATCATGGCGGCGTATATTTCGAGATCGAAACTATAAACGCGAAATTGTGCCGTAGTGTGTTAATATACATCGATTGAATCCAACCGCGTTATTAATTTCGTAACTATATCGGGCTGTTAGGTCATTATTTCTACTAATAATACGCAATTAATCGCCATGCTAAATATCGTAGCAATAGTAATAATCACGATAATTTCAAGTGACTTGCGTGTATTTGAGTATGTGTTTTCCCGGGCTCTAAATCTAACCTCAAAGGTCTTGACGGTGTATTGAACGTTTTTTACACACACGCGTACACACCTACAAAAGAAATACGTGATCATAAATTCTGATGCATATGCTAATTAGTTAATATCCGAAATTCTTTCATTCTTGTTTCTCGTTAAATAATCAATTATTTTTGAGAAAAGAGAATGTGTGTGTGTGTGTGTGTGCGCGGGAAAAGAAATATTCTTTCGTTTACTTCTTGCATCATGAATAACTACATAATCCGCGCTCATCTTTTATGACTTTTTCAACCTTGGCGCATATGATGCTTGCCTTTTTCAAGGCAGAGAGATAACGAAATACGGGAATTACCCGTTTTTTATGCCAAATGAGTCGTCAATCCTAATAACTTGACGCGTCTTTGTGTAATTACGCGATGACCATTGGGTTCTCATATGTATCTAAAGTCGTTGGTATCTTGCAATTATGCAATTTTCGCATTTATCTCTAAATATTTACGCATCACGTTTATGTAAACGTGAGAGATTATCTTGCTGCGTTGCTTAATTTGATACCGCATGTATTTAACGTTAAATCTTTCGGGTTTATCGGATACGACGCCGTTTGTGTATCAGATTCGTTTTGACCTTCGGCAACGTATTGAAGGTGCTTCGACAGACGCTCGGATCTGAATTGTTCGTTGTTGTCCCACGAGACAAAAGGAGAACAATGATCATTGTGGGAAGAAACTGTCAGTTTCATTCTCTTCTTTCTGAACTTCCTGTCGCTCTCGGTATCGGCCAGATTCGACCGCATCATATTTCTCGTGTTGGCAACACGTCAATGACAAAAAATCAAGCAACATCGCCGTTGCGGGACGAGTGTCTGCCGTAACACCGCGAGAAAAATGCGTATCACGGATGTGTATGATTTATGCATGAATCACCGGTTTGTCTCGAATCAATGACGGCAAGAAGTTCGCCCTGCTCTCTTCGCTGTCGACGTATCCCGCTCGCCGAAGTTGCTGATTGCGCCCGCGAACTTCGCGTCGTCCTCGCTGTCTCATCTAAAATGTATAAACCGCATCAGCAAACTCGTTAAGCACGATCGCAAACAATCGCCATCTTTACGAGTGAGCGAAATGTCGACTGGAAACAATCGATATTCTCGAGGAATAAATTGCTGATTAAAAATCGGCATACTAATCCCGCGATGCTCGACACGAAACAGCACTTTCGGTAGATAACGTACAATCATGCACTATTGATCCTTAAATAATCGCGTCGAATCCATTTCATCTGAGCAATGTACTTTTTCTCTAATCTTTAGATGAAGACGGCCTTGTATTGTTGAAACTTGAAATTTTTTAAATATGTACGTATCTTTTCCTTTCGTATAATTATTCAAATTATTCTGACTGTCAACAAGATTCGTAATAATATAAACATTCTTTTACGAAACACGTCGAATAACGCGACGCGCCATAATTGAACAAACTTTATAAACAATTCTTCGCGTGAACAAGAAGAAGCTCTACAGAAGAATTGTTCAATCATCAAAAATCGAGAAAAGCAACGTGACATACGCAATCGCATTATGATTCATCTTGTAAACAGCGTTCTTCTTCCACAAAGAAAAAATCGCGAAGTTTGGAAAGTCTCGTTTTAATTGAGAGACTTCAATAATAGAACAGAAGTTTCAATAATATGCGATGATTCGAAATAATATTCCGATCTCCGTGCGCCAAGATCTCCCAACTTTCTCGCTTGCTACCGTTTAATGTTTACGCGAGAAGTTACGTTACGAGACTTTTCGCGATCGATTTATTCGTGGTCGGTGAATTCTTTTTACCATTTTATTCGCATGTTCTGCAGCTAGAAAGTTCCGCCGGTGTAGGCTGAACCTTTCGTTTCAGTTAATGGTCGCGTGTCTTCGACGAAAAGTGGAGCGAACTAGCGTTTTATCACCTGTCCCGTTTCAAGGTCGTAAACGTTTCTTCCCAGGTCTCGTTCCTGGACTAAGATATGTCGAGTGTGTCTCGATAAAAAAAAAAGAAAAAAAATACTATGATGCTAAACGCGAGAGTAACGCTGAAAGCCCATTGATCCAAGCGTTGCGTTAACCGTTGTCGACTCTACGAGGCTGTGTACGTCGATTCTATGAAAAATGCGAACTCCCAATAAATTTTTGTTGAAAAGAATAAAGTTCATGCCACAGCGATTTAAAATGAAGGACCATTCATTGAGTTGCGAGGCACAAATAAATTCTTCAACCTTTTTTTTTCAAAAAATTTACGTTTCTACACTTCGTAATGCGTTTCTTCACAAGGATGCGAATCGATAAACTCCAGATTCGCGCGAGACATTATCAGAGTAAAATGATGATGTTTCCTCGGGGCTTCTGCGATCCCTGAGGTACTATCCATTGAGTTACGGAGCCCGAGTAAATTCTTGAACATTTTTTTTTCTAAAAATTTATATTTTCGCGCTTCGTGACGCGCTTCTTCACAAAGAATCAATGATAAACTCCAAATTCGCGCGCTACATTATCAAAGCGAAGTTTTCTCGGGACTTCTGTAACCTTTGAAGTACTATCCGTTGAACTGGGAGACCCAAATACATTTTTATCATATATTTTGTTTTTTTTTTATTTTTTAAATTAACATTTTCTCTTGATGACGCGCTTTTTTCGAGAATATGAATTGATAAACTCCAAATTCACGCACGATATTGCCAGAGCATTGAAGTGGCGATGTTTTCTCGGGGTCTCTGTGATCTCTCGAGATATGCGACTCGTTCCTTTCCCTGTTTCGCCCAATCGTAATTGAAAGCCTTCCAGCTGTCGCGCCGGTTCGCCGGCGTCGCGTGTCCGTTTGCAGCAAACGAAGCAGAAGCTTCTTGCACAAAGTCCGAACCCCGTTTCGGTATTCCCGTAGATTAGCAGCCGGTGGAATTTTACTCGTCCGACCAGTAAAATACCAAGAACGCTTCTTGTCCCTTCATGCAGCAGCAGCTACCGGCGCGGCGTTCGGCTCTCTCGCAGCGACGGTCGTAGTTTAACTCGTGTACCGATCTTTTCGCGCGCATAGTAAGATACCTCGTCGTAAAATACCTCCGTTTTATTAGAAGGGCGAAGAATTCTGCTCGCGACGAACTGCGTGTCGTGGACGTCGCTGTGAAATGTGTCGGAGACGGGAAGTGGTCGCGTCCCGCGTTGCAGTCTTACACACAGGCTCTTTTAGAGGTGACGAATTTTCTCTGAATTGTGGAGATCGAAAGTCGTAAACGTGGCAGTTGTTTCAACACTGATGCTGCTGCTGTAAGCACGTCATCGAAAATGGAAAGAATTTCATTTCACCAGCGAAACTTTATACCAGAGAGTTCGCGCAAATATCATCTTTTTAAATTTCATCTTGGGTCGGATTTTAATGAAAGATTCAATATTGCGCGAATGTTTCTATTTACGAAAGAGGTGGCGAATTTTCTCCAAATTGTGGAGATCTGGCGATTGTTCCAACACTGCTGTAGCGTAATCGAAAATTCAAGGAATTTTGCACGAAATTATATACACCAAAACTCGCACAAAATGATATTTTTGAGAATTTCACCCTGGATTGAATTTGACTTGGATCGGATTTTAATGCAAAATTCAATTGCGCGAATGTTTCTATTTACGGAAAAGAGAGAGAGTCGCGATGGAAGTTGAGGGAAGTTTCAATACAAATTCAACGGAAAATGCGCGACTTCCGACGTTTCCTCCATATTCGATGAATTCCTCGAGTCTCCCCATTCTCCTTATGAAAGTTTTACGCTGTCGCGTATATTCTGCCGCATATTTGGACGATGCACCTGCATTTCTGTCGATACCTGTTCGGGTGCATCTTCGCGCGCGTTTACGCAGACGTGTCGGTATCCGGCGTGACATTCGGATACTCGTCTACCCCGTTTCTTTCGCAACAGCTCGGATATCTCTCCTCGACAGGTGGGATTCTCTAAAAGTGCTTGTATCACGAACCCGTAAAACAGCAGGTTTTTATCAATTTCTCGATTATATCACGCGTCGAGGCCTACAGTCGCGATTGGCTATCAACAAAGGAGATGATATCATCTCTACGTGATACACAATTCAATCAATTATCTCGGACACGCAATGACATATTATTGACGATAAATGTCTGTTAATTTATTATATCACAGTCAATTTATTTGTCGTTTGTTCCTTCGTGATTACATATCTATTAATTATCGGAAAATGTTCTCTCTATGAATAATAATTTTTAATTATTATGTTCATGAGAGAAAGACGCCGACATTAATTAAATCGACGTAACGTGCAAATTAAATGAAAATTACGAATGTGGAATACTAAGCTCGTACACGCGCGAAATTGGGCCGCGAACTTAAAGGCAAACAAAAATTCTCCCATCGCCCGCCGTGAAATTAGGTTTCCAGCGCATGTTACCGTTTCTAAATAACGTCGATTCAACCAACGCCCACCTTTCGCTTACCAAAAAGAGAACGCACGGTAGAGCGTTCCAACTCTCGTCCAACTCGAACGTTCTCTTGTGGCGTTTGTTTTGAACCCGTGCACGTGTAGATTCCAGCGTGGAGAACGCGTTCGTTCGTTTCGGAACTAGGTCCGCTGCACTCGATGGGCGCAAAGCGAGAAGGAAAGGAGAACGGGTGATAAGGGCGAGTCATTGGTGAGCGAGTTTGTGGAAAGAAGCACGGTATGTACCGAGAGGGAGAGAGAGAGAGAGAGAGAGAAAGAGAGAGGGAGAGAAGGGAGAAAACTAGAGGATACTCGCTAACACCGAGCGGCGGGTCGAGGAACGAAGCATGGCAAAAGTTAACGGTATATTAACCATTCATCCAATTAGCGTGGATCACACACGGTTATGCGTCGATGGAAACTGAAACTGGCGTGACACGTGTGGGACAGGAGACGGGATGAGAAATGAGAGGGAGAGAGGGGGGAGAAGGGGAGAGAGGCTTCCGTTTTGTCGCTAAATTACGTACGAGCCTGAAGCCGGGTCTCGAGACTCTCTCGGTTGAAAATGACGAGGCGAATTGACAATTTTATGATCGCGCGCGCTGGCCCGCCTGTCTCGATCCTGTTCTTCGGGCCGAAAATCCGTTTCGCGTCCTTTACATTCGCACACGTGGAATATTCCATGACGCCGGGAGCTCCTTTCGTAACGCCGCACAGACGAAGATTGTATTGGCGAAGTCCGTGCATTCCGTTGCTAAAACAAGATCCGTCGTCGCGACAATTTTCGTCCGAATGAGTGCCGCATTATCATTTATGGCACTGAAAAAAAGAAATGTTTTATTGTTATATTTATGACTACATAATCATAGAAAAATAATTACTATTGTGAAGGATTACAATATCGAGAAAGCTATTTTTTCTCTTTTAATTAAATTTTACTATTGTAAAAATATTAATGTTAGTGATGATAATCTTATATGTTTGTTGCCGCTATCACTTTCGCGTTAGAACAAGCAGGAAATTTAGCTGTGGGGTAAAAAATTAATCATAATTTAATCATAATAATCATAATCTAAATTAATCATAATCATAATTTTCATTGTATCAATCGTTTATCAATTGTATCAATCATTTTTTTTCTCTCAATGCGTAGACGCGACATTACGCTTGGATTTTTTATCAGCCATAACAAGAAAAATTGCGCAAAATTCTTTTATTCGAACAGGAAGCTTATCTTTTCCTCAAATTCTCGAGAGAACACGTCAGTGCGGCTTAATCGAATACACGAATAGATAATTACATACTCCGCTGTCGTGCATCAAATTGGATTCATACGTGGCCTCGACTTTCACGTGACCGCCACCACGTACCGCCTAGTACTAATTCACTTTATTTCCTCCTCTTCTTTTTTTCCTCATTTTTTTCTTTCCTTTACTCGAGTAAAAGAGAGCACGAGGGAGATACGAACAAGAGTGCATTTAACGAACAGGTCGCGTTCGTAGTTGCCAAGTCACATGTCGTGACCGGCTTTGCACGCGGAGTCTCAGAAGCGATGTACTTTTTCCGAACTGTGAATGTGTTAGGTGTTTAACTAAGGGAGACGGTGATTGTTTTAACGTTGATGCGCGCGTTACTAATGCCTTATAGAAGACTCAGTAATTTGGGGAGATCTCGAGAGCGAAACATTTAACATCATGTTCTTCATTCTTTGAGTAGACCTTGCTCGCGATTCTTAATACAAGAATTAATTGCTAAAGTGCCAAATACCGCGAGTGCCCAGCCGCGAAAGACCACGTAGTCGCTGAAATTTAAGGAAAGCTGTTCGTTAAAATACACTCCAGAATGCTTTTTCCGGAATGAGATATCCTCGCAGTCGAGCGACGTTATTTTTCTATCTCCCACCGAATTCGCGCCGTGTCTCTGCGCAGGGAGATCCTTTTCGTAATTGGCAAATAATGTGTTTATATTGGCCTTTTATGTTACGGTGCATTAGCGATGCACGATGACGTAGGTGGATAAAAAGAACTCGAGCCGGCGATTACGCGTATTTACGTGTACCGCGTTCGACAGTGCTCGCGTTGGTTTATTTGCGAATGGTATAGCGCGTGGCGTGTATACAGGGGCAAACGTTTTGCGAGTGTTTATCGAAGTTTTTACGTACGATAACGCGCGTTACACATACAAATATTTCGGTATTTTCCCGGTTGCCGTGGAAATGGTCGGCGCCATTCTTTTTGCGGTATATGATAATCTAGTTCGTGATCTAAATCTGATCGTTAAAATGCTATGATCCTTTCCATATATCACATGTGGAAATAGCGCTCGCCGAAACGATTTGCTCGAATATAACGAGTGCTTCAACTCAAGCTGAGGGTCGAAATAGTACGCTTAGTAGGCACCATTTTTGTCACAAGATTATATCGAATGAGGAATCTTGTTTCGCTGCACTGTGAAAAAAAGAAAATGGTTGAGTTAATGAGAGTTTGCTAGAAAGAAAAAAATTCGTTCAAGCGAACGTTTAGTCAATCAACGAGTCACATAGTTGCTGTGATGACTTATCGATTGATGGGATGAATGCGATTCGGTCGACAATTATATCGATGCAACATGTTGTTGCACTAGCGCGTAATTTGTTCAACGGATGCAATATTTCTTTGAAGGATAAGCGCCGATTTTGTCGATCCAACCGCTCTTCTTTTTCTCGGTATGTAGAGATTTTTTACTTATTGACGAATTCGCGATGATTTATTTGCCGTTGCGAGGCACATCATACATTATGTAAAACGATGATTAAGTTATGCTTCTCTCAGCGAGTGAATTATATATTTAGTGAGATATGGATCGCGTACACTCGTGATATTCATAACAAGCCTCCTAATGAAATATCCACGAGCTTCCCTATTGTCGAAGCGCGACACGAATTGCGTTGTAACCATCGATTTTATTCGAAAATACCTGGCTAACGTATATCACTATGAACTTGGCAGATTAATGTTTCTGCGCTCGTTACGGCAAACGTTTATACCGTTGCGTATGATTTATGGCGTACGTTAGACGTGGCATTAAATCGACTTACGATCCTGTCGTGATACCGCAACTGCTACGTAGCTTTGTCGCATCGGAGGCGGATAGCAATGAATTGGAGGTGATTAAAACTGCATAAATGCACTTTCTATCGAAATCCAATCAGAGGATCGGTATTTTTTTTCTTTTTTTTAATAATTCTGGACACACTGCTTCAATTTTTTGTTAGAAATTTTGCAAACTCAATTTTAGAGATTACTGTAAAAATAAGCAGAACATATGAAATTCATAAAGTATATGTCAATAATTATGAATTGTTCTCAAATAATTTGTCAAATGACTTCTGCGAGCTTTTGATATCATCAAGTCCAAATTGCAAAGTGGAAATAACGCTACAGGAAAATTATTTAAAAAATCTCGTCGTTTTGATTGTGACGTAACATCTTTTAAAACAGATTCTCCTCATCGTCCGCCGCTTTTCCACGTCGTTACTAGCGTTTGAAAAAGTCATGATTAATTATCTATCGTTAAAACTACTTCTTTCACTCAACGGATTAGCCGATTTGTGATAAAAATCGTTTCAAGTCCTTGTATTATGTACAGTGCCGCAGTTTGGCGCCTTTGAAAGCTAAAGAGAAAGGTGTGCTATAGATAGCAGAAAGATTCTCTTTCTCTCTCCTCCTTCTTCTTCCTCTCTCTCTTTCTCTGCCGCTCTCGCGCAGATATCATCGAGATATCGCCTAGCAACGAAAGCTGATAGCTTCCAGTGAATCGATAGACGCCCTGTAATGCAATATATCGGATGGCACTCCTCGGCCTTCGGCCTATGCTCGTTCGCCCTGTCTCTGCGTCTCTCGCTTTCCCTCCCCGCGCCGTCTCGTTCTCTCTATCGCGCCGCTCTATGTACTCGAGAGTCCATGTACCCCTGCCCTTGAGTAAATACATTTATTCCCCTCTCACACACTGGAGCGCCGCTCGCGTGCGTGTGTGTACGCATGCAAATTCGTACGCGACATGCGTTTGCCCGTGAGGCGTGAATCGAACGCAGGAAGTCAACCATTGCAGGCTGCAGCGAGCTCCGCTTTGACCACGGCCACGGCGAATTTTTCCTCTCGAATTGAATCGTCACTCATTTCGAATGGAGATAAGTTTACAACGGCGCGCGTACGCGATTAATATACGAAGACTTTCTGAACGAGCGCACCGCCGAACGGCGGAAAAAAGTGGAAAAAGCGTAGTTAATGGTGGGAAAAATTTATGCGCGGAAAATGTCATTTATTCGAGAGTCATGGTTGGCGTGACGTTTGATCTACATTTGAAATCTTCGCGTGATGGAAATATTCCGTATTGAACGCGACGTTCAATTCCAGCCGCACTTCCAATCGACACCGCGAAGTTCGATTTCTTTTTTTTAATATTCGTTTTATTAAATATATACATTCGAATAAGAAATATATATTATCGCGCAAGTGTCATTTGCAAGTTATGTGTATGATACATTACGCGTATCATATTACGCGAACAAATACAGAGCTCAAAATTTCACCGTAATTAACCAGATTCAAAATTTAGCTTATTATATTGTAAATTTTCGCGTCGAAACTCGCTGTGTCGCGGATCTTCTTGCGAAGGTGCTTTTTGTGTAACGCGCGACGCGACACCTCCAGGGCGTAAAATCAGTATCGCCACCAATACGCATACGTGCGACGAGTACGTGCATGTGCGTATATACGTTTATTTTAGTAGAAAAAAAGCGTTGATCGATTTTCCGCCGCCCGAGTTGGCTGATGCGACGTATGACGACGCGTATTTCCGCGTTCGCGTGGGAAATTACGCTTTTTATTACGCCGTTTCCGCGGGCGTCTGAAGAATGCTCGGCATTTCTCGCGCCGTTGAATATTCACCATTCGTCGAAGAAATTTCATTAAAAACAAGCGAGCGGCGTCAATGCCGGTATCACGCGCGCGCGTACGATGCGAGCTCTTGTAATTATTACATTGCTCTCGCTCAATGAAGGGCCTCGCTGAATGCTTTCGCTGAGACAGAATTCAACTTGGAATCACACAATAACAAACTCGCCCAACGAATCGTGTCGTTAACACTTCATCCGATGCACAAGCGCGATCTGCTCACTCGGACATTGTTTGATTTCGTCCTCAGGATATTACGTGCGATTTACGCGCAACACGCCCAAGTACGAGGCGTAATATAACTCCGTGGATTTATTCTACGTCACGTTCGCGTATCCCATGATTTTATGCATGACGGTCTGCCATGTACGATGTGCTGCAACGACGTTACCGTTTAGCCCTGTATCCTCGCGGTGACGGGTGTGTCAAGTTTTGTAAGGGATCCAAAAACTTGTCCGTGCCGAGAACTTGACGATCGGTCGTTCACACTGCTCAGTTGTATAAGCCGCGAGGGACTGCCAAAAGCATAGCCGATCGTTTTGGGTCTCCTCAGGAGTATCTATTTCTTCTCATTAAGGAAGGGTACCTTTTTATTTTTTGATCACATACATCTGAGAAGCCGATTATAAGGATATAATGTGATATAAATATATATAAGTAGCAGGTTTAACTGCTGTTCTTCCTTAATAATAGAGAGCCATACCTTTACTTACAAGTAAACCTACCCAAAAGTTACACTCCGATTTCTTTCTAATTTGGCATAAACGTAGAAGTACAAAAAATATTTAGGTTATATTTTTTCATTTTGGCCCACTTTGAGTTTCACGGGCAGTTTATAACTTTTTAATGTTCTCACTCCTATCATCAAGTACAACAAAAATGCAT